TTTAAACGACACCAGACGATGAATAAGGGTCTTATCATGCGAAACGATCGGTTATTTCAAAACTTATTCCAAAAATGTAACTTTTCTAAGGTCAAATGCTAGCCTTTCTCTATTCTGTGAGGCGCGTTTGCAACGTCACGTAATACGTAATTACGTTCAAAAGGTCACGGGCGACGTAGCCGAAAGTACAGAGTCAGAGTGTTTACAAGTTGAACGCATAGGTTGAACGTGCAAACTAGCTCAAACACCGTTTACAAAAAAAGGAATTAAAAGGTAAAACAACGATGTCGGACGATTTTGATTCTGTACTTCCGGCTACGTCGCCCGTGACCTTTTGAACGTAATTACGTAATACGTGACGTTGCAAACGCGCCTCACAGAATATAGCAAGGCTAGCATTTGTCCTTAGAAAGTTAAATTTTTGGAATAAGTTTTGAAATAACCGATCGTTTCGCATGATAAGACCCTTATTCATCGTCTGGTGTCGTTTAAAGACATTTGAAGCTGCATCTGAAACTGTTATTAACACTATCTTTTGGACCTTGAACCATCCGGTTCCCATTGAAGTCCATTATATGGAGAAAAATCGTGGAACGTTTTCATCAAAAACCTTAATTTCTTTTCGACTGAAGAAAGAAAGACATGGACATCTTGGATGACATGGGGGTGAGTAAATTATCAGCAAAAGTTTTTTCAAAAGTGAACTACTCCTTTAATCAAAAATATCTTCATTTGTGTTCCGAAGATGATCAAAGGTCTTACGGGGTTGGTACAGCATGGGGGTGAGTAATTAATGACTTAATTTTCATTTTTGGGTGAACTAACCCATTAAAGACTGGCGTTTTACCCACTCCACCTCAGTACCAAAAGCAAATAAACGATAACCCCAGACTATCGATGTAAATGTCTATTAAGAGAATAATGTTAGTAGTCAAACTACTCTAGCATCTCAAGGATCGCAATGCATTTGGTACAGGAACTAGTTTCTCAGCAGTGGCTGAGTTTTACTTTAGCGGTTAGTGGTACTGTGTCGAAAAGTAAACACAAAACCGAAGCCGAAGAACCCTACCTCTCTCTCTCACTACCTCTCTACCTCTCTCTCTCAATTCAGTTCAATTCAAATTGCTTTATTGGCATGACTGTACATATTACAATATTGCCAAAGCTTGTAACACATAGTATAGTGAAGACAGTAATAATAACAAAGTATTATAACAACTTAAATTGAAATGTACAAATTAAATTAATTGCAAAAAATAACAGTGTAACAGATTATAATTTCTATGGACGTTTGATACCACAGTGTTTTAACATATATATACACACATACACACATTACTAAGGGTCACTGTGGTGGACATTAGGGAAACACACTGAGGTCACACACACATCTCTCTCACTACCTCTCTTTCTCACTACCTCTCTCTCTCACTATCAAATTCAAATGAGCTTTATTGGCATGACTTATACAGTATTGCCAAAGCATTGGCCATTACATAGGCAATGAACAAATAATCAGTAAATTAATCTATCTCTCTCTACCTCTCTCTCTCACTATCTCTCTTTCTCACTTCCTCTCTCTCACTATCTCTCTCTACCTCTCTCTCTCACTATCTCTCTTTCTCACTACCTCTCTCTTCCTCTCTCTCTACCTCTCTCTCTCACTATCTCTCTCTCTACGTCTCTCCCTCACTACCTCTCTCAGTTGCCTAGGTAACTACATATCACTCCGCCGCTGCTGTAGACTGTGCTAATAAATACAGAGAACAAAGTATAACTATTGCAATGCGATTGAAAGGGTAGTTTGATTTCTAACATCATTCTCTTAACAGACATTTACATCGATAGTCTGGCGTTATAATTGATTTGCTTTTGGTGTACTGTGGTGGAGTGGGTAAAACTGTTTTTAATGGCAGGCTAGCAGTAACCATTGACTCACACTAGCCTAGCACCGGCGAACTATGCAACTGGAACGACTGGATGAGAGTTTTTGAAAACTGTCTCTTCTGATAAATAACACACAGACTAACTTGGAAATGAGGCCCGATATCCAAAATCCTGAACCCTTTAATCCTGGTCTGAAACCGGGGGTGTAATATCTTACCAAGCCCAAACTTTTGAAACCACATTATGAGTTGGCAAGGTTGTGGAGCAGACGTGGTTATCTGATCGTCTTAGATCGTCTGTAACAGTGTTAATGTACTGATGATGCGTCTCACACAGAAATTTCAAGATTTCTTCAACCTGAATGAGACCGGAGACCCAAATAAAGACACCTGTGGCATTCTGACGGTCGAGGGCCGCTCGTTCCCGGTGGACATCTTCTACACTGTCAGGTGTTTACACCGTTGCGCTCACACACGGTCAGTCTCTGAGCTGAGTGATGATACTGAGGAGGGTGTGTTTGTGTCCAGTCCTGTGCCAGACTATGTGAAGGCGACGGTGGAGACCGTGCTGAAGATCCACGAGACCGAGGACGACGGAGACGTGCTGGCGTTTCTCACAGGACAGGTCTGTGTGTGTGTCTGTTCTGGGATGACAACGGTCATAAACATTCATGAAGACTACTTCATGTTCATGACAGTTGTTATGTCAGTCTTATGGACACCCCTTCAAATAAAGTGTTACCCAATTTGATTTGTTTATTAAAGGTGGGGTATGTGATTTTCTTTTTTGGCCATTTTTAACAAAATCACTTGAAATCCTATTCGTAAACCCACTTACTGGCTGTACATTAGAAGCACTGAAATGAAAAACCCCAGCCAATCATTTTCAAGAACCATCTAGAATCATTAGACAGAAAATACGTCAATCAAACAGGCTTACTATGCCCCCCTCCCCCCACCCCTCTATAATTCATCTATAATTTATGCAGTGCGGACTGTTTTATAAACTTATTCAATCTCTGTATGGTAGAGGTAAGTGACATTTATTATGGTTTTAAGTTCACTTAAATTAAAAGTTTTTATTTTTTTAAGCCTAAAGGCACGTACACACCGGGACGATTATCAGCGCGCGTTATTCGTCAGCGTTTATCAACGCGTTTTTTTGTGTGTTCACACCCAAGCGATTTTCGCTGACGATGAGTCGAGTGAACATGCAAATTCATTCCCTGACATTAGATGGCGACAATTTGCTCTGCAATACCACTCCATATCAGTTTTCTTTTATCAAGATGTTTGTATTTGCTAGCACGAACGAGACCAGCAGCTCTACATTCATCTTGCCTCGCATCTTCCTCGTCTTATTTCTTCCCGGCTGTGTAGACGGCGAAGCTACCTGACATATATCTTCTTCGCCGTTGCATATGTGTGCTTTTGTTTTTGAGCGCCCCCAAGTTGTGTTTTACTGTAACTTTAGAAGCTCCAAACACGCGAGCAAAAGCGTTAATCGCATTGGTCGGATAGTTTTTGACGCAGCGCGTCAAACTAAAAAAAAAAAACGAACCCGAGGCATTTTTTTTTTAATTGACGCTTTTAAGCATTGGTGTGCACACTCACATTGGAGCCCTTTGTTTAGTCACAAGGCGTTAAAGTCGGCGAATAACGCGCACGAAATTCGTCCCAGTGTGAACAGGCCTTAATATTTAAAATTTGTGGGAAAATCATTTTCATCGAGACATCAGTAGCTATAATATTAGTGATACAGGCTTTCATTCATAAAAAGATGGCATTAAAGGACAACTCCGGCGCAAAATGAACCTTTGGTCTAATTACACATTGCTACCTAGTCAACCGTTATCTGAAATTTGTTTTCATGATTGCCGAATGTAAATAGTTTTATCTCTAAAAACAGTTTAGCCTATAACGCTAGTAAATAGGGCGTAGAGTAATGACAAATAAAAATCGCTTGTTATTACCACTAACAAGGCTCAAAATAGCCCCACACAAACACGGTAGCATAATAAGGGTCCCTACATTCAAACCGAAGCATTGAGAACTTTGTCAGTGTCCAAACAGTTTAATAAGAAGATATTTTATACACACAGTCAACTTCGCGAATACAGGAAGAAGCCATCTTTGAAAAATAGTCTCTACCAGTCGATCTACGAGCGCCGATCCATGTGCACCAGTGAGATGTGAATAAGGTGATAAGGTGAGCGCGAACAGTAGGCTACGTGTACATATTGATGAGAAGAAAACGGTTCGTGTTTCTGTTTCTTCCGAAAACAACGGACCATATGAGATTCTGCACAGTTCAGCGCACTTAGATCGGCGCTCGTAGATCGACTGGTAGAGACTATTTTTTAAAGATGGCTTCTTCCTGTATTCGCGAAGTTGACTGTGTGTATAAAATATCTTCTTATTAAACTGTTTGGACACTGACAAAGTTCTCAATGCTTCGGTTTGAATGTAGGGACCCTTATTATGTTAGTGTGGGGCTATTTTGAGCCTTGTTAGTGGTAATAACAAGCGATTTTTATTTGTCATTACTCTATGCCCTATTTACTAGCGTTATACTAGCGTTATAGGCTAAACTGTTTTTAGAGATAACACTATTTACATTCGGCAATCATGAAAACAAATCTCAGATAACGGATGACTAGGTAACAATGTGTAATTAGACCAAAGGTTCATTTTGCGCCGGAGTTCTCCTTATAGGCTATGTTTACACGGAAACGATTCTGAAGAGAAAACGCAAAAGTGGCGTTGCGTCATCACTTTTTATTCTGCGTTTAGACGAGCGTTTTGTGTGGGAAATCCGCGTGCAAATGGTGACGCAAAAGTGTGTGAAATTCAATGTAGTATGCACTTCAGGTGAGATATATCCAGCTGCAGACCCGCAGCACCACCAGTTTCAGAATCCCAGTTTCAGAACCCCAGCGCCAGAACCGGAAGTGAGGGAGGGGCGGAATTATTATTATTGCATTATAATTATTTTAGCAAGAATGTAAGGACAAAATGGGCCTGAGGGTAAGTTCCTCATACATTGTAAGTTAAATTTATACAAGATTGTTGTGATAAAACAGGCCTAGCTTGGGTTGAATTGGTCGTTTTGTATAGATTTTTAACAAAACAATGCCGAATTTTCTCTCGTTTTTAGATTTTGACATTATTATTTTACACGAAAAATGCATGCTGCACATGTTCTTGTGAAATAAAGTATATTTTATAAAAAATACCCATGCGATTTTTTTATTATTAAACAATCAAAATCATCTAACAAATACATATCTTCAATATCAAGATAAATAAATAAATAAATAGAACATAAAATATCACAGATGTCTAATGAGTTATCAAATTGTGTATGATTTTAAAAACCTCAAATGCTTGTCTTGTTTTATATCTTTCAAAGCTTTATTATACAAAGTTAACTCCTTCATAAAAAACAAAAAAACAAAGGTCTTACCTTCCTACATCTACACAAATGTATAAACTGCTTAGCTAAAATTATTAAACTGTTATACATTAAAATGCCCATAAGTTTCAAGTATTATTTTTTCACCATCATGATCAGGAAGTAACTTATAATACAATGAAGCGAATAACTGAAACTATAAACAATTATATTACACAAAACCAATGTTTTAAAATGCTTATTGTACCGTAATGTAGTATCATAACATACATACGTAGAGAGTAGGACGTTTCTTGTTCAATAAAAGCTGTTTCATGTGTAAAATACCCTCCAAATTACGTTAGGTGGCGTTATTAGGTTTCAAACCAAAGCTCCGCCCCTCACTTACGTTCCTCGTGCTGGTGTTGGTTAGAACGTAACCCCGCCCCTTACTTCCGGTTCTGGCGCTGGGGTTCTGAAACTGGTGTGCTGCGGGTCTGCAGCTGGATACTATTGCTTCAGGTGGCTAGGAGTGCATACTACAACAACACCAAGTCCGCGCGCCTGCGTATACAACCTTCACTGTCAAGCAGACTTTTGCGTTTTTACCGTTTACACGGGAACGCGGCGGTGGAGCGTTTTTAAGATTTCCACTCTGGAGGGTGGTTTCACTTTTTTGCGTTTTTAAGCGTCAAAAAATGCCGTCGGCATGTAAACGAAAGGCACATCCGATAAAATATTTGTACGTTTTCACCCGCGAGCGTTCTCGTGTAAACAGAGCCTAAGATACAGCTGCAATACTTGAAAATAAATGGTGCCATTGAAGATAAGTCCGTCTCCCCCCCCCCAAAAAAAAAATTTCAAGCTCAGGAATTATTTTCACTTTAACCCCTGTATACGCATTGCGTAGCGACACACACCGAGCACTCGCGTATGGGAAGTGTGTTCAACTCCAGATAAACATGGCCATTGACTGTTTGAACAGGAGGAGGTGGAGAAGGTGGTGTCTCTGCTCCAGGAACAGGCGCGCACCCTGTCCCGCTACGGGATGAAGAAGCACCTGTGTGTGTTGCCCATGTACGCGGGCCTGCCCTACAGCGAGCAGATGAGGGCGTTCGAGAGGATGCCGCCCACTGTCAGAAAGGTGACCACAGAAACTAACCACAGGGCTGGACACACGTCATCACAACTCCTTGACGAGAGTTCGTCTCTGATGTTTTTCAGGTGGTGGTCGCAACCAATATAGCGGAGACCTCCATCACCATCAACGGGGTGGTGTTTGTGATCGACTGTGCGTTTGTGAAGCTGCGGGCGTATAATCCCGTGACCGCGATCGAGTCTCTGATCGTGACGCCCATCTCTAAAGCCTCCGCCTGCCAGAGAGCCGGCCGCGCCGGGAGGAACCGCGCCGGGAAGTGCTTCCGCCTCTACACCGGTACCGACACCTACATATTTTTATTACATATATATGATAGAAATATATAGTCAACTAATTAAATGGAACACATGATGCTTTATTTACATGTTCATCTTTCTTTAGTGTGTAATGTAAGTCTTCTCTAGATCAGTGTGAGTGTTTCTGAACTCCTGAAACGCCTCCATTGTAGTCTCGAGTTTCTTCCGAGAACACGTCACAATATTGCTCATTAGAATAATTCATGCGCAGAAAAAAGGGGCGGGGCCTGGTTGAGTGGGTTAGTAGTGTGATGGTAAGGGCGGGACATTTCCCAAACACATTCGAAGCGCTCGACCAATCACAACACACTTATCCAGCCGACCAATCAGAGCACAGTGTGCTTTTCAGAAGGAGGGGCTTCATTGAGACAGGAACTAAACAGAGCGATGAATGATGGAGAATATGGGCAACGTAATGTGTTTTTGAACATTCAAGCATGAAAACCTGTTCTGGTAGAGCTCAAAAACAACATCAAGACTTAGATGATAGGTCCCCTTTAAATATATTAAACTTCCGGTTTGGGGAAGTTCCACTCAAAAAGTCTAAAATAAATCATTTCAAATCATAAAGTTGCGCTACAAATGATCCTTATCTGTCAGTTTGACTGAATGTTTTACTCCGACGTCAGGAGAATAACGTAACGCTTGGTATTGTAACAGAAATGAAAAGAAACACACAAGTTGCAAAAGTTTTATAAGAACATGTAAAATTAGAAATAAGAAAAAAAATACATGTAGTAAATTATTCAATAATAATGTAATAAATACATTAATCTTACAAAACGTAAGTCTTTTATTTTGATGCCCGTTTAAAAAAGATATATTGACATCCACATTTGGAATAAATTAAAGCATTCGGGAATTCGAGTAGTTCACTTTTAAAAAAAATTTGCTGATAATTTACTCATCCAAGATGTCCACGTCTTTCTTTCTTCAGTCAAAAAGAAATAAAGCTTTTTGATGAAAACATTCCAGGATTTTCTCCATATAATGGACTTCAATGGGAACCAAACGGTTCAAGGTCCAAATGAGAGTTTCAGTGCAGCTTCAAAGGGCTTTAAACGATTCCAGACGATGAATAAGGGTCTTATCTAGTGAAACGATCGCTCATTTAATAAATAAATAACAAAGTTTAAGTTTTATAAGCTCAAATGCTCGCCTTGCTCTGTTCTGTGACGCACGTTCGTGACTCTCCTGTTCATCAAAATGAACGAATCTTTTTTCGTGTCATTTGGTTGATTCAACAAACGAAATGAACAAATTGACTCGGAAAAAGATTTGTTCATTTTGATATGGAGAAAAGTTCTGGAATGTTTTCATCAAAAACCTTCTTTTTTTCGACTGAAGAAAGAATGACATGGACATCTTGGATGAGTAAATTATCAGCAAAAGTTTTTTGAAAAGTGAACGACTCCTTTAACATGACTCTTAAAGATTTGAATTCTCATTTTAAATGGAGGAACGGGATTTAACAATAATGTTCACTGGCGTTCCACAACACTGTCGGCCTGTTGTACTGTAGTGTGGTGAACTGAGGTGTGTGTTGTGCATGTGTGTGGATCAGAGGAGGACTTCGAGAAGCTGCCGGAGTCCACGGTCCCCGAGATGCAGCGCTCGAACCTGGCTCCGGTCATCCTGCAGCTCAAAGCCCTGGGCATCGACAACGTGCTGCGCTTCAACTTCCTCTCCGTGAGTGTGTCCCCCCGATGCATCAACACATTACGCCCCGCTGTTGTCCACGTGTGCATGACTCCGTGTGCTCGTCCCGCAGCCTCCTCCCGCTCAGTCCATGGTCCAGGCTCTGGAGCTGCTCTTCGCTCTCGGAGGTACAGGACACACACACACACTCTCTCACACTGCCGCTTCTCTGCGTGTGATCTCACTGGATGTGGTTCTGACAGGTCTGGACCAGTACGGGCGCCTCACGGACCCGATGGGGGTGCGGATGGCCGAGTTCCCGCTCAGTCCCATGTTCGCCAAGATGCTGCTGGAGTCGGGGAACTTCGGCTGCTCCAAGGAGATCGTCACCATCGCTGCCATGATGCAGATTCAGAACCTGTTCACGGTGCCACACAATCAGAGGAAAGCAGCTGTATGTCGACTCTCACCGCTGTTTTCTCTGCTTTATGACCCGGTTTATAGCATTTATAGCCGTGTGTCTGTGTGTCGCAGGCGCGGGAGCACCGGAAGTTTGCCGTGGCGGAGGGGGATCATCTCACCATGCTGAATGTGTATGAGGCTTTCATAAAGGTAACGGACCTCGCTCAAATTCACTTTACCTCAATGGAAAACGGTTTATTTTAGGATATCGATTAACCGGAAGCGGACGAGAATCTGTGAACTGCATTATTACACTGTTCTCTAAGACTTCATAATGGATTAAAACCATTTATACCATGGTCTGGGTGAATAGTCGATTCTGATTGGCTGCAGGGTGTCCGTTAAAAAGTGATAGAGGACACCTAGTAAAGTAGTTCTGGTGAAACTGGCTGTTTACCATTCGAAATGAATAAATAAATGCGCTGCCCACAACAGCTGTGAGTAACCATAGCAACAGGCAGTCAAAGTATCCGTTAACAATTTGCTCTATCAAAACAAACATCTAACGTTAGTTAGATATTACATACTAATACAACAATGAGCGACTTATTTCTTTTAACCCTTGTGCTGCATTCGATTTTTAACACCGTTGAGTGCATTAAGGACCAAAAATGGCCACATATTAAACATTGCCTAAAATATTATATATTATTATTATTTTCCACTTTTACCAAGTTAAATCTTTTAACCAGCATCAGTCTTCATCATAACTACCAAAAATGTATTCAATTTCAGGATTTTAACCCTTTAATTACCAGTTTTGTTTGCGAAACCATCGATTTGTATAAGAGGAAAAAACACAAAAATTCAATTATTTTCAATAAACTAAATGCAAAGAGAAAACTTTAGATTTGGATGATCACAGTCCCACTTTGCAAAAAATCCCACTTAGCGCGTTAGAGACCAAAAATGGCCACCTATTAAACATTGCCTATTGCCTAAAATAAGGTGCATTTCCACCCATAGGGAATAAATATGCAGTGACGTCATCTGGTGGAATACACTATATAATGCAAATATAATGATTTTGCTTCAAAATGAAAGGATGTTTGTGCAAAAATCATGTTTCATGTATTACTGACAGCCTCAGATTTAAACAACATTTTAATGGGTTTCAATGGGCCATTTTTGGTCTTTATGGTCCTGAGTGTTACTATTTGATCTACACAGTGTGTGTTATACATATTTTGCAAAATGGGATCACATTTTTTACATGTATCCAAAAAGTCACAATTTTGCCAAATTTCATACCATTTGCATTAAAACAGCCAAAATGGTCAGAGAAATTAAACTGCAAAAGACCAAAAATGTCCCTAATGCAGCATAAGGGTTAACATTTATGGAGAATATGACAACTTTGACGACTGGGATGCTGCTGAAGAAAGAAAAAATGTAAATAAAACGGAGAAACGTCGCAAAGAAAATTACACCGCTGCTGCTCTGAATGAGACCCTGCGGGAGTTTTACGCAGCAGGAGGAGAGTACAGTGTTTCAAGCCTAAGAAGCCTGTTTGATTAATTGTTTTATGTGTAATTAAAAAAATAAATAACTATGCCTACCTTTGTGTTTCATAAAAAAAAAAAAATGCATTTTTGAACCTGAAGGGTTCTACAAGCTGAGCGGACTATAAATATCTCCGGTTGCTAAATAAACCGTCAGGCGAGTTATTATGTGTAAAAACTTGATTTAGCCTAATTAAAATATAAACTAGCAGCTAATGTTTTAAAAATGTTTTATTTGGCAAGTGACCATGGTATAAGCGGGTTAATGTCCTTCGAGGTGTCCATTGTCAGGTTTTAATGGACTTCGCTGCGCGTCGGCCGGTTCACGCCTCGCCGTCGTCCATTAAAACCTGACAATGGACACCTCGTCGGGCATTAACCCTTACTTAAAGGATTAGTTCACTTTTGAAAAAACTTTTGCTGATAATTTACTCACCCCCATGTCATCCAAGATGTCCATGTCTTTCTTTCCTCAGTCGAAAAGTAATTTAGGTTTTTGATGAAAACATTCCAGGATTTTTCTCCATATAATGGACTTCAATGGGAACCGGATGGTTCAGGTCCAAAAGATAGTGTTAATAACAGTTACAGATGCAGCTTCAAATGTCTTTAAACGACACCAGACGATGAATAAGGGTCTTATCATGCGAAACGATCGGTTATTTCAAAACTTATTCCAAAATTGTAACTTTTCTAAGGACAAATGCTAGCCTTGCTCTATTCTCTGAGGCGCGTTTGTAACGTCACGTAATACGTAATTACGTTCAAAAGGTCACGGGCGACGTAGCCGGAAGTACAGAATCAAAATCGTCCGACATCGTTGTTTTACCATTTAATTCCTTTTTTGTAAACGCCGTTTGAGTTAGTTTGCACGTTCAACCTATGCGTTCAACTTGTAAACACTCTGACTCTGTACTTCCGGCTACGTCACCCGTGACCTTTTGAACGTAATTACGTATTACATGACGTTACAAACGCGCCTCACAGAAAAGAGCAAGGCTAGCATTTGTCCCTTTACATTTTTGGAATAAGTTTTGAAATAACCGATCGTTTCGCATGATAAGACCCTTATTCATCGTCTGGTGTCATTTAAAGACATTTGAAGCTGCATCTGTAACTGTTATAACTGTCGTTTGGACCTCGGTTGGACCTGGTTCCCATGGAAGTCCATTATAAGGAGAAAAATCCTGGAATGTTTTCATCAAAAACCTTCATTTCTTTTCGACTGAAGAAAGAAAGACATGGACATCTTGGATGACATGGGGGTGAGTAAATTATCAGCAAAAGTTTTTTCAAAAGTGAACTAATCCTTTAAATAGCACAGTTCTTTCTCTGATGACGTGCGCAGGCCTCATCTTGAGGCGTCGTGTTTGAGAAGCACAGATTCGTGAGTTTGGATGAGGTAATAATGTTGCTTGTGTTGGTGTTGTGATGTTCCCGCAGCACCAGAAGAGTTCGCAGTGGTGTCAGGAGCACTTCCTCCACTATAAAGGTCTCCTGCGGGCCGTGGCCGTGCGAGAGCAGCTGCGACACCTCCTCAACAAGTTCAAGGTGCCTCGCACCTCCAGCGAGGGTGAGCTCTCCTCTCCGTCATGTCAGCTCATGACCGTGTTTTCTAGGGGTGTAACGATATATATCGTTGCGAAATGTATCGCAATGCGAAAATGCAACAATATGTATCGTGGATAGTGGCTATTATGTTTGGTGTATAGTTCACCCAGAAAAAAAGCTTTCTCAAAATATTTCGTCTTTAATCTTGAAATGCTCTATTTTTTTATGTTGCGGTTCAGGGCTTCCGTAAACTACCGTATATAATGTTGACTAGAGCCCGACCGATAAAGGATTTTGAAGGCCGATATCCATACAAATATTTTTTGGCTTATTAACACTAGAAGTGGCAGAATTCCAAAACTACTAGAACGGCCACAAACGGTCATTTTGACCGTTAGAGTCAAAATATTGTTTATTTCGTTGACGAATAATTTTCGTAATTATTTTCGTCAACCACATTTTTTCAAAGACGAAAACGAGACGATAACTAAATAAAAACTAGGTTTGAATGACAAAAACTATGACGAAAACGTTAGATAGTGACGATTTGCGAAGCGGTCAATAGGCTAATAATAATAATAGAGCAGAACTAGTGAACAGCCCATGCAGCAGAGCTCACCAGGATCATCCGACATGAACGGAGCATCTGGATCCGCCGTGTCTGATGATAGCTGCCATCTCTTTTTCCTTGATGTGGACTCTGAATCACTCTCTGATGAGGAGGAAATGTTAACTTCCGATTGTTCCTCGCATTTGAATCATCACTCGTCAAGTTCTGAAGCATCTCCAGTGCCATGGTTTGAGTCATTTTCCCTTCTCATTCGCTCATTCATTTTAGACATTTTAACCTAGCAATATATACAGCCTATAGACCATTTTGCTAGATGTAAACAACACTGGTCCAGAAGCACTTCCTGTTTCAGTTTGTAACTGTTTTCTTTATTTCACATGTCAAGAAAACATCTTAAAGATGTTGTTTAACTTTTTGATTCAGTTTTACATGTTCTGTTGGTTGTATTTTATCCCAGCTTTTGTGTAGTGTTAAAAAACTGAAACAGGAAGTGCTTCTGGACCAGTGTTGTTTACATCTTGTGAAATGGTCTATAGATAACGTAAGTATTATAGATAACTTTAGTCCGGTTTTATTTGCTTATTTCTGATCAACAACTAATGTAGAAATTATTATGTAGCAAACACCGCTACAGAGGTGACCGGACGGACCTTTCTGTCGACAGTTGAGAGAGAACACGATCAACCGCGGGATATTTAACGAAAAAATAGCGCAAAATTCAGTGCGGTCAATATGACCGAAATAGGTAAATGTGTTCATTAGGGCCCGAGCACTAACAGTGCGAGGACCCTATTGAAACTGTTAGGGTTATTTTTTTTTTTCTTTTTTCTTATTTCTGCAAAGTAAGCGCCGCATTTTCGGGGCCGCAACATGCTCAAAAAGTCACCAAATTTGGCACGCATGTCAGGACTGGTGAAAAATTTCGTATTTTGTGGGTTTCGCGGATGGGCGGGGCAAAATGGCTCGCTAGCGCCACCTACAAAATTGGAAAAAATTAGCCCCTCGTCCACGTTCAACCTACATGCACGAAATTTGGTGGGGATGTGTATCATATCAAGATGCACAAAAAAGCCTCAAGAACCCATACCCTAAACTTGACAGGAAGTACGCCATTTTGAATTTGGCGACCGATTTCGGACGATTTACACACTCCGTACTTTAACGAACTCCTCCTATAGGGATTTAGTCGGATCAACTTCAAATTCAAACTTCAAACTTCAAATGCCTTCTAAAGGCATTGACGATGCAAAGTTGTGCTATCTGCGCATTTTCGTCGATGGGCGTGTCCGTGGCGTCGATGATTCGCCATGAAACAGGAAGTTGTAGTAACTTGGCTGTAAATGCCCAGATCTGCACGAAATTTGACACATTTGACAAGAGTCCCGCCCTGAACAAATCTACATGCCGACATTCACCCTCAGTCATAGCGCCACCTAGTGGCAACAGGAAGTGACCTTTAACGAAGCAGCCCCCGCCGCACCTTTGAACGACATGTACGAAATTTCTGTGGTACATCTACCATGTCCACACGCACAGAAAAGTCTCTTGGAGTGATGCCCTAAACTCAACAGGAAGTGGGCCATTTCTATTTTTACCGCCATTTTTGGATGATGTACTCATTACGTACTTTAACGAACTCCTCCTAGGGATTTAGTCGGACCGACTTCACATTTCTGCTGTGCCTTCTAAAGGCATTGACGATGTAAAGTTGTGCTATCTGCGCATTTTCGTTGATGGGCGTGTCCGTGGCGTTGATGATTCGCCATGAAACAGGAAGTTGTAGTAACTTGGCTGTAAATGCCCAGATCTGCACCAAATTTTACACATTTGACAAGAGTCCAGCCCTGAACAAATCTACATGGCGACATTCACCCACAGTCATAGCGCCACCTAGTGGCAACAGGAAGTGAGCTTTAATGAAGCAGCCCCCACCGCATCTTTGACCGACATGTACGAAATTTCTGTGGTACATCTACCATGTCCAGACGCACAGAAAAGTCTCTTGGAGCGATGCCATAAACTCAACAGGAAGTTGGCCATTTCTAATTTTACCGCCATTTTGGGATGATTTACTCATTACGTACTTTAACGAACTCCTCCTAGGGATTTAGTCGGATCGACTTCAAATTTCTACTGTGCCTTCTAAAGGCATTGACGATGAAAAGTTGTGCTATCTGCGTGTTTTCGTCAATGGGCGTGTCCGTGGCGGCGATGATTCGCCATGAAACAGGAAGTTGTAGTAACTTGGCTGTAAATGCCCAGATCTGCACGAAATTTTACACATTTGACAAGAGTCCCGCCCTGAACAAATCTACATGCCGACATTCACCCTCAGTCATAGCGCCACCTGCTGGCAACAGGAAGTGACCTTAACCGAAGCAGCGAACCAAATTCACAGCCGCACCGGCTGAGCTGTAGAATATGCAACGCAGCCGTCTCACACCCCAACGCGCTACAGGTGCGAGGGCCCGCCCATCGCTGCTTGCAGCTTGTAACTTTTTTTGTTTTGCCTTACGTTTACGTAACTTAATTTATATGAAAAGCATTTTAAATGAAAATACAGACAATTTTAGGAAAAGTCAGGTACCAGCAGGATTTTATTATTTTTTTCAACAAAGTTATTGTAGATATAAAATTCAAAACGGTCAAAATGACCGTTGTGGCCGTTCTAGTGTTAAATCCGATATATCGGCCGATATTTTATTTATTTAACTATGCCAACTGGAACGGTGTAGAGTGCCCTCTGGTGGACAAACCACACAACTCCAACACCCATGACATGGTTCAAGCATGTTTCGTCCGTTTTTATTTTATTTTTGAAATATTCATTTATCGGCCATCATAACTGCCGATACCGATATTTTGGAAAATGTCTAATATCGGCCGATAATATCGATCTGGCTCTAATATTGACTATAATGTATAATCATGCAATGGGGGAATATGTGTGTGTCCTGATAATGGCAGATGTGTGATGTTCGCAGTAAAAGTGGCCGACTTTATTTAAATATATCTAGTCAGTGAAGAGCGTGAGCATATTTGTGTAGAGTAATTGTGTGTTTTCATCTTCAGAATCATGAATATTGTTATTCTGGTGTCTCTATTGTCCTGTGCTTTGGGTTTCCTGCACAAGTTCAAGCCTGTTCATTCACACACACACACACACACAATGAAAAAACTACTTGAACATTACATTTTGTGTTCAATTTTTCTTGGAGTATGGCACTAATATGGTATCGTGATAAGTACGTGTGTATTGCCGTATGAGTTAATGTGTGTGTGCCCTGAAGGTGACCCGGACGTGATTCTCCGATGTATCGTGTCTGGGTTTTTCGCGAATGCGGCCCGTATGCATCACTCCGGCTCCTACAGGTCGGTTCCTCTTCATCAGTGGTAGTCACCTGACTTTTCCAGCCGTGTTTGCATGTCTCTGTTGTTGTTGTAATGCAGGACTCTACGTGACGACCGAGAGCTGTTCATCCACCCCGATTCGGTGCTGTTTGGAGAAAAGCCCCCAAAATGGTACTGGTGTTACCCTAACGGGTCAAACTGTGCTTTGGGTCTGCTCCCGCCGATATTAACCCAGCTGTGTGTCTCAGGGTGGTCTTCAATGAGGTGGTTCAGACCAGCAAGTACTACATGCGGGACGTGACGGCGGTGGAGTCGTCCTGGCTGGTGGAGCTGGCGCCGCACTTCTACAAACAGGCCAAGGTGAGGTTTAGTCCTTCTCTTTATTAAAGTTTGCCCACTTTAATATGCACAATACTGTTCAAAGCCAACATCTATTCATGTTTAGTCTCTTCTCTTAATTTTTTTAGTTAAAATGGTAATGTTGAGAAATATTATTATAAATTGAAAGAACTGTTTTGTGAATAAATGTTAAAATGTAATGTATTCCCGTGATTAAAGCTGTATTTTCAGCATCATTACTCCAGTCTTCAGTGTCACATGATCCTTCAGAAATCACTCTAATATAAGGATTCGATGCTCAGGAAACATTTCTCATTATGTTGTGCACCTTCATATTTTTTTTTTTTGGAAACTGATACTTTCCCCCAAGGACTCTTTAAAGCAGGGGAGGGGGGGGGGTTTATTTGTATAGTAAAAATATTATTTACTATACAAATAAACTATAATATACTACTAATATACTACATTATTTATAAAAAAAATGTCCACATTTAAAGTTCAAATTATAAACTGGGTTTCACTGAAAGGCTATTCCTTTAATAATGAGAGGAAGAGTCTGACTAGTGAAATTTGCTGCAGGTTTGCTACTTTGCAATTCGCTACTTTCCGCATGCCTTTGCTTTTAAAAGTAATGTGAATGTTCAAACGCAGATTCATTCAGAGATAAAGCAGAAGCGAGTCGTCGAGTCATTCCTGTGAAAAACTCATATTCATTCAGTAGCGAAACTGAAACAGTGTTGCTCAGAGAGCCTGGGACTATTTTCATTAGCAAAATAGAGGTAAAACTGGCAATATTGTGTCTAAAATGTAAGTCGCCTATTAAAGGAGTAGTTCAGTTTTAAAAAAAAACTTTTCAATGGGACTTCAATGGGAACCAAACGGTTCAAGGTCCAAAAGACAGGGTTCAAAGGGCTTTAAACGATTCCAGACGATGAATAAGGGTCAATTAGGCAAGATGATGAATAAAAGATCAATTTGTTCGTTACGTTCGTTGAATGAACCAAATGACTTGGAAAAAGATCGAGCTTATAAAACAAACTTTATTTATTTTTTTTTTTAAATGAGCGATCGTTTCGCTTGATAAGACTTATTCGTCGTCTGGAGTCGTTTAAAGCCCTTTGAACAGTTTGCACTGAAACTGTCTTTTGGACCTTGAACCGTTTGGTTCCCATTGAAGTTCATTATATGGAGAAAAATCCTGGAATCTTTTCATCAAAAACCTTAATTTCTTTTCGACTGAAGAAAGAAAGACGTTGACAATCTTGGATGACATGGGGGTGAGTAAATTATCAGCAAAAGTTTTTTTGAAAAGTGAACAACACCTTTAACTTATTGTTTCTTGAATTGTTGTATAAAATCAATATATCAATACATCAGCACGTTTGCAAATTGATTATAAATATCAAAAACAAGAACTTAGACGCAGATTTTTGGCCAGTATCTTGGTTTTTGGATGCATTTTTATTCGTTTCCACCCCTGGTGTCTGTGTGTGACGTTATTAACTTGCGTTACTCATTTGAAAACAGCAACTCGGACATTTTGTTGACATTTAAGTATTGTGTTACTTTACTAGTTACTTAAAAAAAAGTAATCTGAGTATGTAACTTGTGTTAGCCAACCCAACACCACAAAAATAAAAGTTTGACCCCCTGTGTTCCTGTCCTCCCTCTCTCTTTCAGCACGGGTCTCTGAGCAGCAAACGGGCCAAAGTCTTCTGAACGACTCTCTCCTGAACCACAGGATCCACACACGCTGACTCGGGGTGTTCATTGCAGCTGCAAGGCGAAAGGGAACACTGTGTTATTTTGTATATACAAATGTATGACATATTTATGCTGTCATGGTCATCTTTGTATTATTTAATAGCTTTTTAGTGAAGGTTGAGAGCCATCGGAAAAACGTGACTGTGATTTTCTTGATTACCGTTTGAGAGTGAGAGAATGACTGGATGGATGGATTGATCGCACGAACACCTACCCTCAATAACAACCGGAATATTATTATAATAAGCTATTTTCCCCCCGTTTGTTTTTTTCAAAACCCTCATCGGAGAAATACTGTGTAGCTCAAACGTAGTGGCCTTTCAACCATTATGTGCCAAATATTATAAAACCATAGAACATTTCCTGTTGTATATGGAATGTGCAAATAATTGTAGTTACACTGTAAGCATGTGACAAAAAAGTGCCATTTTTTATATTATATATGTATAGGTTCCTAAACGGTAGCCTTGTGCACCTCTGGCCTAAAAAACTGTGTAAGTAGGTGTAATTATTCATTTAATCGTATGGTGTACTTTAGGAAAGATCAGCCATGACTAGTTTGAGTGGTGAGTTAATAGCACAGTGAACGAGACGCCTCAGGGAAGAGCTTATTTCCTACTACAGTGTACAGTCAAATATCGAACATGGATGAGAACGTAATGAATTCTGGGCGTGGCTTTAACAGGAAGGCTGAGGTGCCAATCATGCGAGGGGAGGCGGAGCCTCGGTACTGTAATGTTTTGGCTTTCAGCAAATGGGCATTTTTTTTCCAAATTTGATTTTAATTTTTCCTTTTCCTTTATTATCTTCTTTATTACGTCCGAGAGAAAAAAAAACGTGTTAAAATCTACTTTCACGGTAACTTTGCCAAATGTCTTCAAGACAATATCCGTGGTGTATAGTCGGTTCAGTAGCTGTGAGTAGTGTAGATTTAGCTGTATATGATCGCAGTTTAAACGTTCTCGCATGTCTTTAAACATTAGTAAACCTCGAGTAGTTTCACAGCAGTGCAGTGTTTTGATGAGGAATCACAAATAAGCGGATGTAAATGTGCAACATGTAGTTTCTCGCCGCTCTGTGAAGCATAAAGTCAATAAAGTCTTATGTTCGTGGTTAATGAATGTGCAGTAGTTTGTGGGAAACGGTATGTGGTTTTGATTTATACAAAATGTGAAGCTAATGGAGCGGGAGAAATCCACGTCATCATCAGTTTATAACTATAATTATGTTACGTTCATCAAAACGTATGTGCTTCTGGTCCTTTCACATGGTTCGTTTTGGCTTTGTGTGGATAGGAGTGAATAGCAGTGAATGGTTTTTTTTTTTTTTGCTTACAGAATGTAGCCTATAATTTTTTTTTTTGTCATGTTTCTGGATTTAACACAAATAAACGTAAAAAGCCCCCTACCATCAAAGATGCACGTGTGTGATTGACCGAAAGGTGTCAGTGTTGGTCAAGAAAACACGAGTCGGACTGAGACAAACTCAGGACAATATCTGAACAGCAATCCTGTTTTCTAGCTTGATATAAATATGTACGTCTCATAATAACCGCATTGAGTAATGGATCTACACTACCTTTTATGCTCATCAATATACTGCTTTTATTTTTGTTAACAGCAGTTATAGGCTACAATGAAATATTAGGCTACAATAATTTAAATTATATAAATTTTTTAAATATCCTTTAAAATATTAATTAATCCTGTTATCAGTATACCGCGGTGTCAAGTGATCCTTCAGAAATCCTAATGTGCTGATTAGCTGCTCAATAAACACTTCTGATTATTTTTAAATTTGAGTTGTGCTGATTCAGGTGTGTGGAAACTGTATTACTTTCAGAATTCTTTGGTTTAAAAGAACAGCTTTCTTTAAAATAGACATCTTTGTAACGTTAAATCTCTTACTGACATATTTTCGAGCAATCTAATGCATCTTTGCTGAATAAAAAGTATTAATTTCTTTTTAAAAAAATATCTTACTGACCCCAAACTTTTGAACGGTAGCATAACAGCTATAGCAAAATATGATATCATTTTAGTTTAGAAGACAACAAAACCATGTGGAGTCTTTAATTGTGCTTGAACGTTTATTTACAGTTTTAACTATTAATGGCATTATCATAAACTATCATAAATAAAATGTATTTCCATGCTGTATACAGTTATAAACATTTATTTTGAAAATATTAGCATATAGCCTGCATTAATTATAAAAATGAATAATTCTCAGTGTAGCGATGAAAAGAAGTGAAAACATTGTAATGTATGCAAATATATGCAACGTGTTTTTATTTCGCAATATGCAGTTTATACTGGCAACTTTTGTGTTTTTATTTCATCATTGTATTAGATAACATTATTTTAATAGTTGATCATTTGAATCCTAATGAAATTGAAACACTTAAAAATATGGAAATTTTCGTAGCAATGCAATAAAACACATTTTTGGTTCCTCTTTCAGAACATTTGAATAAGAACCTTTGGAGGAATGGAAATATCATTTATTCTTAAGAAACAATCGATTCAAGAACGTTATTGCACAATCCTCCATTATGTTACACCCAGTGACACTTCATGAACGAACAACTCTGAAGACTGAGTGGTTCATAACTCACACACACGGTGTAAAGACTCGAGACTAGTCTCTGACACACAGTCTTCAGTCCTCACAGTGTCTGCAAACACCGAGCGACACCACAGGAGTCAACACAGGCTCTTTGATTCGTTAAAGTCGATTCATTTAGTTTAAACTAATTCATTTATTCGTCTTAAGGTGGAGAATCCTCACAGCAGAAGAAGCGTAGGAGGAGGAAGACGAAGAGGAGGAAGAAGCGTCTCGTGTTTCTGCCACTCGCGGTCAGGCCATGACGTCAGATCTTGTCATAGATGAGTGCTTTATTAAACCCAGTTTATGTCGTCTAACAGTGTTGTAGTCGAGACCACCTCACTCGAGTCCGAGTCGACACCGAGACCAGAGAGAGTCGAGTCCGAGTCAAGACCGAGTCCATAGAGAGTCGAGTCCGAGTCGAGTCCGAGACCAGAGACGGTCGAGTCCGAGTCGAGTCCGAGACCAGAGACGGTCGAGTCCGAGTCGAGTCCGAGACCAGAGACGGTCGAGACCGAGACCAGTGAGGGTGGATTACCTAATTTACTTTTATTTACTTAGAGAAATCCTTTTTTTATTTTTTTTATTTTTTTTTTTACTGAATTTACTTAGAGTTTAAAAAATATGATCAGTTTAGGGTAAAAAGGCCACATAGGTGGTGTAATTTTATTACAATTTGTCATGCGCAGTTGCGCACTAGAAAATCACCAATCACTGGGCGTGTCAATCAATTTAAAGAAATATTTTATTAACATACATTAATAATCATGAAAAATATTTTTAATTGAACTCGAGTGGACTCGGGAATAATTCCGAGTCCTAAAAAAAAAAATGTTCGAGTACGAGTCAATTCCGAGTCCAAATGGACACGAGTCCATGACAAGACCAAGACCATTAAAATATGGTCTTGAGACCGAGTCCGAGACGAGTCCGACACTGTCGTCTAATGTCATTGATAATGTCCTGCCTCCGAGCGAGAAAAACACTATATTCACCTCAGATAAGCGTAAAGTTGTGACACTATTTGTGTTTTCACTCAGAGCACCGGAAATAGTTTGACAGGGAATTGTCTTATAAATAAATAACCCCTATGAGAGGTTTAATTTTTCAAGCCAGCACATCATTTCCATATGCGAGATAATATCCACTTTGTGATTAATGCTAGTGTAGTAAACCTTAATTATTCTTTAAAGAGGTTTAACAATTTATGGAGGACAGAGGGCACGTCACCACACAGGATTTTAGAGAAAATATATATTTTTATTGACAATCTGATTTAGAAAAATAGTACCATCACATCAATACACATTGAAAGAGGCTCTAGCCCACATTAACTCAGCACGCGCGCACTAGGACAATCGCGATCCCCAAGTGAACACTTCAAACGTCACTACACTCCAGTGGTTACTCCCCAGCCCAGCACAGCACACTAGAACTCGTGATCACTACAATCCTTTATCAAGTGGAAGAATCATCGTCCTTGGTCCCGCGTACACAAAGCAATGGGCGTACACACTCTAACATACGCAACTCTCACATACACATTCACACCCCACACACATACTCATGAAATGGTTAAAATATAAAACACTTCCCCGATTTCCAGGCAAATAAGACCCCGCCCAGAGGTCTCGGGGAACGGAATCAGCCGTGATGAAGTCCACAGAGGCAGCACGCGTTGTTTGTCCGCGTTTGTCCGTCCCAGCCACAGCAGTCACAATAATGGCATTAATTAGTCCTCTTCGCGCTAGGTTCTCTTTACGGATCACTGGTGATGCACGAGTTCTTTATTTTATGCGAGACGCAGCTCTTTTAATCGCTCCAGGAACACGTGGCCAGCGCTCCTATACCCCCGTCCCACTATTACTAACTACACCGATGTCTCTCTAGCTAGCTATCTTCGTTGCCGGACAAACCCTAATGGTCTCGAGCAACACAAAGCGTCCCCGTTTCCCTCCGAGCGCGAGAAGCCAATCACGTCCTCCCGAACTTCCCCTCTGCTCTCTTAAATGTCCTCCAGTCCAGGTGAGATCGATCATCAATAAGCACATACTACGAAATGGTTCAGACGGGCGGAACCAACGGCAAACAACACAAAAAGATACACCCCCACGCCATTCGTCACACTATCCCCTCCCCTCGGGTAAACAGGACTCGTCCTCGAGTCACGTCAAATTATAATCCTTGGACCAAGCTGGTGGTCTCCGAGAACGAGCCGGCTGCATTCTTCGTGGACAAGGCTCTGGACGGGAATCTCCAACTTCTACCCTCTGGTCCCCACTCTCCGGCTGCCTCTCACCAGACCGGCGTCCCCGGAACAAGATTCAAGTTTCCACGGGAAGGACCACCTCCCACAGCAGACTTTACGAGCGGGTTTCTTTCGATGCTAGACGCAGCAGCACTCTCCTTGTCTGGACAGCCTCCGGAGCCGCAGGTGGATGATACCCCATACGAAATCCTGTCCTTCTGCAAGGCTTTGAGACTCTGGGTGTCGTCCAGCAGTCTGATCCACAGGGGTCCTCTGGTTGTCCCGCCCCATCGATTCTGAAACAGAACAAGCAACATAAGGCTTCATTCGATTAAAATGGACAACACTCTCCGAACCCCCCTCTGATAGCTGCACTCTATACAGCATATCCGACACCCTTTCTAAGATTTTAAATGGCCCCTTGAATCGTCTTTGCAACTTAGGGCACACACCCCGTTTACGAGTTTTATTTGAATCCAAACTAATTCACCAACGACATAGTAATGGAAATTGGCTCGAAAATCAGCATGGATCTTCTGTCGCTGAGAAGCTTGACTCTGATGCCTTTTCACTGCTTCCACTACTGTAGATAAACTTTCTGCTATTCGGTCACATATTCATTTACGGACTGAAATTTCTGCATATTATCTACACCCAACATAATATCCACAGGAAGGACCATCTCCTGCCCAAATAACACTTTATACGGTGTAAACCCGGTGCTTGCCTGCACACTGCTACGATAGGCCATCATCACATATGGTAGCAATCTGTCCCAGTTCATTTGATTTTCGTCCACAAACAGTGAAAGCATTGATAGTAAAGTGCGATTAAACCGCTCTATCAGCCCGTCAGACTGAGGCCGATACGGAGAAGTACGAGACTTGTTTATCTGCAGCAATCTACACAACTCCTTAAACAAACCAGACTCGAAATTTCTCCCCTGATCCGAATGCAAGCTTCGCGGCACTCCATACCGGCACACCCACTCCTCTACCAACACTCTAGCAATAGACTGAGCTTCTTGATTAGGGAGGGGGAATGCTTCGGTCCATTTGGAAAAATAGTCACCAATGATTAAAATGTACTTATTTTTATTTAGAGTTTCTGGTAACGGGCCCAATACATCTACCGCCACACGTTCATATGGGCGGGATACCACAGACATCTGAAGGGGGGCACAAGGGGCCTTTCCATGAGCCTTTCGGGAGGCACAATCACGACACTCCCTACACCATTTTTTCACATCCCCAAACCACCCAGGCCAATAAAAACGATCCTTCACCTTAGCCTGTAACTTCTGAATCCCTAAATGCCCCCCAGTTGGTGTATTATGCAACATGGACAACACCCCCGGCACCAGACTTTTAGGTAAAATCACCTGTACTGCCGAAGCCGCGTCAGAATTTGCTGGGGTATCCTCACCAACCGCTGGTTTCGCATATGCAATTGATCCCACACTGGAGAATAACTAACAAGGGCAGGGTTTCGCTCACCTTCCCTACCATCATCCACTGACCCATTTTTTAAATTAATAAGCAGCTGAATGTTTG